AGTGGAATTTGAAAATAATAACCCTCTTGTCCTTTGCAATAAATCAATGGGTTTTGCAGAGCATCATAAAACTTGTGTGTATCGGCTACCCGTCGCAACTTATCATCACGTATTCGCAAGACAATGTATCGTGAAGAAAATTGATCACGACTAATTACGGCTGCTATCTCGTTTATCAAAGGTGCATTGTAGCGCCTTTAATGCTCTCCTCGAGGGGTCCGATCTGCTTGTATGACGACTTTATAATCCTCTTCAGGTAGGTTTTCTAAAGTTTTAAATGTTTTGACTAAAATGTTACGTTCATGCAAGAATCTTTGAATTTTGAACACTGTGTCTCCCTCAACTCCCTGGATAAATTGACAGCGACGGTCTACCTCAATTTCTTCGTCACCCATAAAATATATTATTCGTTTTCAGCTGGAAAAAGTGAACCTATTCTATGATAAATTTGCCCTTGCACCGTGAATGTAGGCGAAAATCCCGGCATTATTATTTCCCGGTCAACTCCGAACGATGTCATTTGAAAGTATGAGTTATATTTCAAACCGCGTTTTAAAAACCTAGTAACGACATCTAGCGGAATCAATTTAAACTATGTATACGTTAGTTAATAAGAACTCTCAAAATATATTTTTCTTATAATTTTGCACAATTTTTCTTATTATAATACCGATTCATTCATAACCACATTTAAGAACTGTATTCATTTCCGTTCAATAAATATTACTAAGGCTGATTATTAAGGCTTACTAAGAACGGTTTCTACCACAGTTAAGTAATAGTTAAGGGTGAAAATGTGACAGGTGGTGATAGTATTTCTGATCCATACTTATAATTACGCCTGTAACCCTTGCGGGGTAGGCAGAGCATCAACGGATTACTTAATATCGTCTGCGAGGTTATCGCCTATTCTGTGAATTACAATGCACCAAAACGTTTGAAGAAAATCAGCCGGTGTTTTTTTATCGCTCTCTTCCCGGCCCTGCGTGGATAAATATGGATCCATACATTTTTTATCTTAATTTTGGTAAAAAGACATAATAATCCAGATATTCTGGCCTTCTGTGTTCGTCCATCGTACCGTCGTCCGTCTTGTAGAATCACGGTGATGCCACCTAGTTGAATTTAATTTCGCAACATATTTGATTTTCCCACGGGAATCATATGTTTTTCCGCTGAAAAATGCCTATGTCACTTTACAGCCACCGAACTATCCCCATACAAAAAATCATGCCATGCCGACGCTCTGTTGCGACGTGAAAGAAAGGACAAACTTGTGCAACATATTCTATTTTCCCACGGGAATGAGATGTTTCTCCGCGGAAAAAAGTAACCTATGTCACTCTACAGCCACCGAACTCTCCCCATACAAAAAATCATGCCATGCCGACGCTCTGTTGCGACGTGAAAGAAGGACAAACAAACAAACAAACACACTTTCGCATTGATAATATTAGTATGGATGTAATCGTATTATTGAGTAAGCATTCGAGGTAAACATGGCCCGTGTCACAAAAATGGATCCATTTAATCACAATAGTGTGAAATGGCGAGCGTCAGCCAGTTTAAAATGTACATCGAACAGCGATAATTGTTTTAATTTACCTGCGTTTGTTCGTTGACTTAATTTTAAATCACGGTGATTTTCTTGTGACAAAGAGTAGCTTAATACAATAAAAACAGTGTACAGAATTGTTGAGCGCATTGTGTTGTAAGCAAATTCTGTCAATGCAGTTGAACATTTTATTGTGCTATATTGCACTTGCTCTTGTTTAAATTGGTTTTATTGTTTTAAATTTCAGTGCAACTGCTTTTTGTAAAAGGTATAAAACTCAAATACTCAGAGCCTATTATTCAGACTTGTCTTACTTGTTATTCAAAATACATAGAAGAATTTATGTTATGAATTTATAAAACAGAAACAGAAACTTTTTTATTCAATAATGATTATAAACAATACTTATTGAAAGTCACTCTTATGTCTACTTTACTACTGGTTCGAAAAATACCTTTGTTCTGGGAAGAACCAGCAATAATGTCAGTAGGACTATTTCTTAAAAAAAACACCATACATGTTAAACTATTGACAATACAAAACAAATTAGAAATAGGTTGATAGCCAGCTCATGCGCAGGGATTATGATTATGATTCGTAATTTTGTTTTAAATTTTAATAAATTTTTTAAGTTTAGAACTTTGAGGAGGTCGAATTTTTGTATTAGAATAGCTTTCTTAGAATAGCTGTCAGGCATATGGTTTTTATAAATTTGTCTAAGTATTGTTTTGTTCATTATTACGTGATTTTTATGCATATTTCTATGATTGTTATGTACACTATTAATTTCATTAAATTGCTACAAAATATAAATCTACTATATTTTAACCGCCATCTATAACCAGTAACTAATGGGGGAAAGTCCCACAGTGCCGAACAACTAACACTGCGTTTTCGGAAAAAACATAAATTAAAATTATGAAGAAAAGGCTTACCTTTTCTTCATAATTTTAGACATTTCGTTGCAGGCTTACTCTTAATGTGTAAAATTGCGTTTGAATTATTTTCAACAAGTTAACACAAATACCTGTATTTATTTTCTTTTTATGAAAACACTTCTTGTCATAATGATTTTTTATATTCACGGCAACACAACAAATAAAATAAAGATTTTTTTTACAGATTTTGTCGCCTTTAATTTACTTATTTTTAATTCCCGACATGCGGATGCTTTGCAGTACCCATGATGAAGGAAGGACTGAGATGATTGACGTCCCGATGTCAAATTTAATCAGGAGTAACATAAGCTTTTAATTATTAATTTTGGTCCGATCTACGCAAAATGAGCTTACTGTATCTTGAAATCTTGCAGTGGTATGCTTAGGTTCAGTTCTAATTTTATTAATTACAGCACCTAAATTTTTTTTCACCTAAATTTGAAATTAGCGTATTTATTATTTTCAATAGGCTCACGTATCATCCTTGGTAGCAATCGATGTTTGATCTCGATGATTTGTGGTCTATTAAATCTGATGTACTAGCAGGAGCAGTCTAGGATATGATCACAAACTGCAGACATCTGTTCCGGGAAGATAAAATCCATGAAAATAGTTTTAAACAATGTCCTTGCCCTGATACGGTAGTGAAGGATACATTTATTCTCGTTCTTGAATACTTTCTTACCTTATTTTTCCATTGTTTTGCGCATTATGTCGTATGGACGTATAAAATTATATGTTTGGCTAAATAAATAAATATATTCGACGAATTGTAAGTTTTGTTCGCTTTGTTCGGGTGTTTAAGTTTTTTATATGATTTAAGTTTATCTACTTAACTATAAGTTGGTGATGAAGCCCTAGACGGTAAAGCAAACTGTATTAGCGTAACTAAAGCTGCCTGCTGGCAAGGCAAGCTTAGTACGTTGTCAGGTGGAGAATAAAATTTAAAAGTAAAGTTACAGCCTATATACGTCCCACTGCTGAGCATAGGCCTCCCCTAATTTTTGAGAGGGTTTTAGGGCAAGGAAGTGTCCGCCGCGCTGCCTTCAAAATATTATTTTTTCTTATTCCTCAGGCATGCAGCATCACGATGTTTTCCTTCACCGCCGAGCACGTGGTAAATCAGTACTTAAAATTGCAATTAACAATTTCATTGGTGCCGGTGGGGATCAAACCCGGGTTACTCGCGTTCTGTGTGCGAGCGTTAACCATCTGAGCTACCACCGTTCATCAGGTGGAGAATATAACGACATATATTTCACCAGACATATCAGAAGTCATCATAGAAGAGGTAGTCGGAGCATCGTACCTGTCTGGATCGGTGATCAGAAAATAGTTGGCTGCTTTGTGTACCCTAGTCACTTGTTTTAGCTGTGCCAGCGATAAGGTAAAATTCTACACCTCCCTCCTAGTCGGTCTTCTAGTATAGAAACATTCTGGTTTATAAATTTCAATGTCTATTAATACCCTAATTGCAGAGAAAGTGGGGTCTTAAAGGTGACAGAGAGGTCATTAATAGTAATTTAAATATAAAGAAACAGAAATGTGTTTAATAATTCTTTTATTATATATATTTCTAAAACATTATCATAATAATAATCAGGACAGAAGGCTTATAATTTACGATCTGTTTTAGTTATACTTTTACCAAATCGGTGTATGATTTTTTTAAACTTATTGTATGTTATAAATGCTGGCACAACAATGGTCTTTGGTGGACAGCAATAATAATTGTCTATATTATCATTTTGATCCTCGGTGCCTAAGTCTCTACGAAATCTTTGATATTCATGAATGCCAGCGTTTGGCATGTTTTTAGAAAATACATTACCAGTACCAATTTTCGTAACATCTGTAAAAATAAAACGAAATATTGATGGATTTCCTCTTTTTTTATAGGATAGGGTGAAAAACGAGCACACAGTCCACGTGATGGTAAGTGGTTGCTGTGGCCTATAGACATCTGCATCTATCCTCGATTACGAATCAAAATGCAGATGCGTTGTCACCCATGAGGACTAAGATGGAATAGCTCGTTTCCAGTAAAAAGGGTCTCCGGTTCTCTACACTCACCATACGAAATACAGCAGCATTAAGCAACTATTTCACGCTGGTACTCTGTGAGAGCGTGGTCCTTCCCCCGGTCCAGCCGATCCATTCGTGCTACAACTATACTTCCAATATAACTGCAGCATGACTCTACCACGTATCTCTTCATAACTCTTCTCCCCTCACTAAAAAATCGCGTTTTGGAGACGCTTACAAAACATTATCATCGATAAACACCCAAATTCACAACACTATTAGTTTTAAAAACTGAAGTAATATTTAAAAAATACTTTCATATTTAACGGGATTAAAGTTTTTTGATATTGTGGTATTTTTTTAAACCAAACAGTAAAGTCATTATAGTGTTATATAAAGTTAATTTATTTGTAATCATAATTATTTACGACAACATAACTTAAGACAACAGTGCGAAAAAATAAAACTATAAAAAATTACAATCAATAAGACTTTGTATTTCGCCAAAGAGTGTAGAGTTTGTTATTATATTCATCACGGTCGGAACTGGGATTGCTATGCTGGCTCCGATTTATTAAGGCAACTTTTCTCTTCTCATGAAAAATAGTGGTTTCTTGATCCGGGTACTGATGGCTTACTGAAACAACATGGCTTTGGATTCTCGCTGGTTCAGTTGACGTTGAAGTCCATTCTGTTGGTTTAAACAATGCCTCAATCAGACATGGTTTCATTGATACCTCTTTTTGTTGGTTGGTTGATTTTCTTTTAAACGGTGCGTTAGGTATATCTGAATTAAACTTCATGTAGTCTTTAAAGAAAATTTTCTTGTATGCATGTTTAGCCTTTTTGCCTATATACAATGGAAACGCCATTGCTAATTTTTCGTTAGCACCATTACATCCGCCATCACAAAGCTTATAGGGGGCAGTGAAAAGTACATATCCCGGTTTTTTAGTTATTTCTAAAAGTATTTTAAATTAAATCATTATTGATTGTGATTTTGTTTAACCCTCAAGACTAATGAAGAATGGTATTTCTGTCAAAGCCATTTTTACAACACACTAGTTGTCTATTATTTTGGTTTATAATAAAAAAAATTTAAATTTTGTGTTTTATAATAATTAAGTACGTAATCTATTACTTAAAATTGAACGCCTGCTCCGCTGTACAAACCCAGCCGGCACGCCAGGACATAGGATTCTATGCTCTGGCTTGTGGAGACCATCTGTTTTCATAAGAATGGGAAGCCACGCTGTGTTAGTCTGCTTGAAGCGATCATCTTTACTTTACTTTATTTACTAAAATAATACTAGGACTGCCTGCGAATGAGCGGATAGTAGAGATGCACTGCAAACCTTGAGATGTATCTAGTCCGTGATCTAGCTGAGATGTATCTGAGATGCAGGTCGCTCAGGTACATCTGATTTTTAAAGTTCTTTTGTATCTTAAATAGTTTGCACCGCCTGGCCTCATATCTGGCTTCGGTGTGAGCTGATGTTTACTGTACTTACTCTCGCCATTCATGATACGCCTGATTAATTCACTTCCTTCACTGAAATCGTCAAATTTTATTAGAGTTGTTCTGTGCGAAGTGTGTGAAGACGCTAGATGGTTGAATAAAAATATAAAATTTATACATCGACGCATTAACATATTTTAGACTGTAACTGTTTGGGCTTTATTCCTTATACTCCTATTTACGACCTTGGTAATAAATTGATTATTTCCTTTCAACGTTTATGTGAATAGAATTATGTTGCGTTTTATTTTATTACTACAAACAAAGTGATCGACATGTTTGTTAACAAAAGCAGTTTTTTAAAATAAAAGTGGGCATAATTTTAATTACTTTGTTAATTGAAAAGTCTTTTGATACTTTTAAGCAAGGTACTCATACCTCGTTTCACAAGTTATTTAATCCCTCGTAATTTGTAATCTTACAAGTAAACAAACTTTAACAACTTTGGAACTAATGAAAATGTTGTTATAGTTTTCGATAACATTTTATTCGTAATGAAATTTTTATGCGTTACATAAAACTTTATACTTTGTGTACACATCAATGTTTCGATATACGACGCTGTGTTACGTGATATAAAGTAGGAAACGTGTTGGAATAACAGTCGTAAGAATACTAAAGTAGATAGTTCTATCTTGAAGTTTCCTTATAGTCAATCATTCTGCCGGCTTCCGAACCCAGAGCTGGCGGAGCTTTCTGAAATATTAAAGAACATCAATTTATGATAATGATTTCTTATATTTACGCGAACACTACACGTTGAAATAATACTAGTTTTTACGGAATTTATCGCGTATATTTAACTTTTTAAATACCCGACGTTTCGAACGCTTTACAGCACTCATGGTCACGGGCGGGACTGAGATGTTCAACGTCCATATGTCATAGTTAACCGCGGTTACCATAGATTAAAATTTAACTTTTGTTCCGATCTATGCAGTATGAACTTATGGTATCTTGAAGTCTTGCAGTTGTATGCTTGGGTTGGGATTTAATTTTATTTATTATAGGGTCCCAAGCAGATGGTAGCACCCAGCCATCTTCTCTATTGAAATTAGGATGTTTTTTGATTTCAATAGCCTCGCGAATCATCCTTGGAAGGAATCGGTGTTCTTTAGCGAGGATTTGCGGTCTATCAAATCTGATGTAGTGACGGGGGTGATCCTGTACGTGTTCAGTGGGAAGTCTGCAGTCTGTGAACACGTACAGGATCGCCCCCGTCACTACATCAGATTTGATAGACCGCAAATCCTCGCTAAAGAACACCGATTCCTTCCAAGGATGATTCGCGAGGCTATTGAAATCAAAAAACATTCTAATTTCAATAGAGAAAATGGCTGGGTGCTGCCATCTGCTTGGGACCCTATAATAAATAAAATTAAATCCCAACCCAAGCATACAACTGCAAGACTTCAAGATACCATAAGTTCATACTGCATAGATCGGAACAAAAGTTAAATTTTAATCTATGGTAACCGCGGTTAACTATGACATATGGACGTTGAACATCTCAGTCCCGCCCGTGACCATGAGTGCTGTAAAGCGTTCGAAACGTCGGGTATTTAAAAAGTTAAATATACGCGATAAATTCCGTAAAAACTAGTATTATTTCAATCAATTTATTACTGTCGACGAATTCAAACTCTTTCCAATTAGCGAAAGAGTTCTTGACAATTGTTTCACTGAGCAGGAGGTAAAAATAGTTGACCAAGACACTGGCCTAGAATGAGGGAATGTTAATAAATATATCTCGACTTGTGACATAACTCAAATGGCGTTTTCAGACGGTATTAAAACACACTCACCAATATTCCGGGAATTAGGCGAGTTTTTGATAGTTTGTTAAACAAAGTCGGGACAAACCTGATGATGACATAAAATTCATCATTATATTTTACAAGTGTTACGTACTTACGTAAATGGAACATAGGTTTCTTTATAGATAGCCTTGATACTAGAGGAATGGATAGTACCCACGCTTGACAGAGGGAGTTGGTATACGCAGTGTTTTGTTTTTTGAGTTTTTATTAGAAAGATCTCTGTTTCAGTTTTTCTCTGTCGTCTCAATCGACACCCACGTGATGAAAGGGTAGTGGATTCTCTCACTCCGCCAATACACAGCAAGCAGTAAGTGGTTTTCTGTCGAAACGTAGTACGCTCGAGCTGAATTTTTTTGGCAGCGGTAATCACAGAGATATTTATGATACGTGTGATCATAGTTTCGAGTACGGGGACGATCTAATTAAACACCTCGTAACTAGTTATAATTCATTTGCCTTCATTCATTATTTTTAACTTTAGACGATAATTTTTTGTACATTAAAAAGATAAAAAAGAAACGAAAAAGTAACGCCTACATTTATTTTCCAGATAATTAATGGGGGAAAACGATTGAAACTTTGCATTTCTATCTGTTATTTTTGTATATGCCATAACTAAATTAAAATGTTGTGTCATAGTACAGTATAGTAGAGGGGTAAAACAGTAAAGGTGAGTTAAGTAATAGGTAAACTGGCATTACAAAATTGAAAGAGATATTTAGATAGAGACAGTATTTTATTAATATACTCATATAAGTTTGGCGGTGGAAGGAAAAGGGGAGATTTTCCACCGGGCAAAGTGTTATGCCCGGGAAGCGGCCATCGCTCCGTGTGATATTTCGGAGCTGTTCTATTTATACTGTTATTTTTTCTTAACTTTGATAGCGCGATTTAGGCGTCAATGTCTTTCGCTTGTGGCGCGACGACAGCGCTACCACATCATCCCCCTGCTCAGACCGGAGGTCGATAGTGCAGCATCGTTGTCGATGAATGTGCAAGTGCCAGCGGGTTGCCTTGTAGTCTGTCGTGAGCCGAGAAGAAGGCAAGTAATCTGCGAGAGTGCCGTGAAGCAGAGGCGAGCAGTGAGGCTCAGAACCGTGCCGAACACTGTATAGCGCAGAGATAGCTTAAAGGAACAGGAAGTATTATTATTCCAGTGCTGCGATGAACCTTGTAAAGTGAGACGGCTGGCAGGATATCAATACTGCAGACGATATCTGCTCGAGAGCGAATGAATGAGGGTGAGCGATGGATGGGGATACTTGATGACGATGACGAAGCTTGAAGTTGTAGTTTCTGAAGTTTGCATTGTTGTGTGTTCATATCGCGTCAGTTAGTAATATATGACTCGTAGATGTATTGCATTAATTGCGTTACAGACAAACGAAAGCAGCATGCCGATTAGTCATGGACATAAATCCCCGGGGATTATGATGTTATAATGTGTAAGTAGATTTAAACAACTCGACTATTGCCAAATGACATATGTTTAGTGCCATGTCAATACGTTACGGTTTAAAAGATTAAGAACGTAATATTGTATATACTTTTAAAGCTAAATAATGTTAGTGTGTGGTTTTGGAGTAAGTTTTTAGTGCATCATTGGAAAGATAATAAATATATTAATAATAGACTTCCACATTGTTCCAGCAATAAGAATTAGTACTGCTTAAAAAAAAGAATTTTAAAAACTAACAACTTACTTCAAAAACTTAGACGAATGAAATACCGTCTGATGTCGGTGCTAAGAGCACGATGCGGTGCTAGAGCACACACCTTGCGAATTTTTTGGGAGATTTTGACGACAACTCAACTAACAGTCGATGACGACAGCCACTCATGTGCTTAAGACGCAAGTCAAAATTTCTTGAGGTTTATATCTACATCGAAGCACTTGTTTTGTCGTTTTCTCTAAAATTTCATATGCGCAGACACTTAACTTAAATTACATAAAATAATATATAAAATAATATTATTAATTAAATAATTATTTATCAAGAAAAAGTGTCAAAGTTATATCATTCTTTAAAAAATATGGAAAAAAGTTTGAAATTATAAAAGAAAACACTTTTTTTAGGTTTTCATTTTTTTATTTATTTTTATAGAAGAGGGGGCAAACGAGCATGCGGCTCACCTGATGTTAAGTGACTATCGCCGCTTATGATCAACCGCAACAACAGGGGAATTGCAGGCCCTTTAGAAAGGAGTAAGGTCTTTTCTTGAAGGTCCCCAGGTCGTATCGGTCCGGAAAAATCGCCGGTAGTAAACTATTCCACAGAGATTGTACGCGGAAGAAAACTCCTTTTGAAACGTACAGTGGTGGACCACCAAGCATCCAGATGGTGTGGATGGTATAGAAACGTTTTCCGCGTAGTGCGTTCACGAAATTTGGCGGCTGGGATTAATCCGAACAATTCCTCAGAGCACTCTCCATGGTATAAGCGAAAAGAAAATGCAAAGAGAT